TAAGCACAGAGAGTCAGACTGCACACACACACACACACACACACACACACTCACACTCACACACAGGCCTTACTTACAAATTCAGGCTCACTCTCACGACCCGAATGCACAAATGCAAATGTATACAAACACACAGTACTGAGCAAATGTCAGAGGCCACCATTCATTTTTAATTTTCAGCAATGCTGTAGCCAGTCCATTGTTCTGAGATGACCAGCAGCTTTTTTTGCTGCACATCCTTTCAGACCCGCAGTGTTAATATTTTTTTTTTTTATTTTTATAATTGAAGGATGGACTGATCTGAAGATCTGAAGCAAGAGTGGAGCTTGATTTTCTCTCATCTCTCATGTCTGATGGTCCCATTTTCTCTGTATCATTTAATATTTATCAGTTAAACGTCAGTTTTGGAAACGTTTTTCACCTATTTTCTTTTGACTTTCCCCTTCCTTATACAAGTGGATTATATCAGAAATGTCTCCTGAAAAACACTACCATATTTTTGCATTTTGGAAGTTTACTGTTACTGACTGTAGCTGCACAATTTATCAGCCACCCTCTACCTCATCCATCAATAAAAGAGAACCCCCACAGGACCACAGCTGATCCAGAGTCCCTGCTAGGAAATTTTTGTGTCAGTCACAGTGTCTGAGAATGATCCAGGTTGTCAGGCGAGTGGTAAAATTCTGTTTGTACATTGTTTTTTGCAAAAACACACTGCAAGAATGTGTGTTGTCAGATGTCAGAATAGACTAGTTAAAATATTACCGGCAGGCTAAAATAAAAACTCTTTGTCTAAAAAAAAAAAACTGTGTCACAGCACAAGCGGCAAACCTGAACTGCTTTCCCAAAACATTGCATAGAGGACAGAGAGGATAGAGTTTATTTAGACAACATTTGAACATAGATTGCTTAGCCTGGTTATTGGCCACATTTAAATATCTAAATTAAAAGATATTTCCTTCAATGTTCTTCACTAATTAGAAAACGTCTTTTTCATAGAAGAAGTGTTGGAAATGGAAGTTACATGCTAATGTTACTTTAATGATACATTAATGTTAAATGACCAAGAAAACAAAGTTAAATTAAACCAAACTGGAGCATTTGTCTTATTATGCAGTAGGTTACTGACTCATTCACTCACTCAGTCACTCATGTTTAGCAGGCTGAAGATTCTCCGTAAGGGGGAGCTGTTAGCACACACTATTTTCTAGCGAAAAGAAACTTGCCCTGTCCAGATATTATTTAGATAACACTGATATGCATTTTTTTTTTTAAATTGGCAACTTAGTTCATTCAAACATAAACACTCTGGCGCTGCAGTAGTCCTGCCGCCAGGTTCTAAATGGTGCTAAAGGCTTGCATTTAGAGTACATTTTTTACGCTCCTAGAGCTTGGAGACAAGATATTTCTTCCGAATGTCCATCTATTATTCCGCGCCAGCACGTCTGCCCACGAACGATGGATATCCCCCCTGCGACAGGGATCCGAAAGGGCCCAGAGAGTGGGAGAAAGAACCAAGCCCTGATTATTAATGAGCCTGTAGTAAAATGCTTAATTTGCACCGTCTTCAACCAAATTATAACTCACACTGAAAGCAGCTGAATTTGCATAAATCTCATTAGAAAGAGGGAGAGAGGTTCATAAATCGTTCTATTAATTAGTCCTTTTTTCACCTCTTTTTCTTGCCACAGTGGTGTGTATTAATAAAAGCGTCAGGGCGTATGTGTGTGTATACGTGTGTGTGTAGGTGTATGTGTATGAATGTGTGAGGGAGACTAATTGGCCTTTGTACTGGCTGGTGTTTAGGCTTGTGACAGATGTGATGGGGCTGATTTAGGAGGTTAAGCTTCACGTTTTACAGCTGTTGACACACTTGCACCTGTCCGTGTAAATACGGTGTGCTGATTTTTAATTGTGCATATAGACAGTGAGAAGGAGTTAAGGTGAACCATTTCATTGAGTCATTTTGTCATGCGTCTTAATTGATCCCATTATCTTTAGAAGGGTTTTCCCAGATATACAACTTTGATGATACTCTAGCTCTAACTCTAGCAACAAAATATTTGACTTGGACAGGTGGCATTTTTGGTGTTATTGGAGATATTTGAGAGAATTAGCTGATTCCTTTGGCCAGAAATAGATGCTAACATGTCAAAAAATTCGGAGGATGTTTATACCTTACCAAGTTATCGCTAATTATGAATAACAGCCATGAAATTGATAAGCAGAAATAATATTTTTTTTTACTAGGCATGGCAGGCCAGTTTAGCACCTGAACTCTTTCACTACGGAGCCATGCTGTTGTGATACATGCACACGTGTCTGTTTTTAATGCAGTGTGGCCTGTCTACCACTGAGTAATGGGAGTTAGATTGAAGTGGGGTGGAAATAGGTGTCAACGATAGCTCACAAATAACAAGGAAACTACTCTCAGTTAAAAATAGACTGGCTGATTTGCTAAAATGTTTTCTGTTAGTTGATACTAAATATCTAGTTAGTATTATGTATACATTGACCGGCCGCTCCATTAAATACACCTACTTATTATCCGCTCTCGTTGTCCATTTTATCAGCTCCACTTACCACATAGGAGCACTTTGTAGTTCTAAAATTACAGACTGTAGTCCATCTGTTTCTCTGCATACTTTGTTAATCCCCTTTCACCCTGTTCTTCAATGGTCAGGACCTCCACAGGACCACCACAGAGCAGGTATTATTTGGGTGGTGACACCAAAGTGTTTAAAAACTCGAGTAGGACTACTGTGTCTGATTCACTCATACCAGCGCAACACACACTAACACACCATCACCATGTCAGTGTCAATGCAGTGCTGAGAATGATCCACCACCTAAATAATACCTGCTCTGTGGGCGTCCTGACCACTAAAGAACAGAGCGAAAAGGGGCTAACAATGTATGCAGAGAAACAGATGGACTACAGTCTGTAATTGTAGAACTACAAAATGCACCTTTATGGTAAGTGAGCTGATAAAATGGACAATGAGTGTAGAAACAAGGAGGTGCACTGAAAGAAGTGGCCAGGCGCTGTAAGTAAACGTTATTTTGTATTTTTCACAAAGTGCCCGCATTCGTGCTTAAAGTGCCTCTGAACTCAGTGAGCTCCAGTATTATTTCCTAGCTTGTCCTGGAGCACTACACTGTTTTAATTCCATTAGCATCTCCCTATGTTAATCATGTCCTATAGTTAGGGATCCCCTGCACCCCTATTGCCTCCTGCACCTTTAATCCTCCATGTCTCCCCACCTTATTGCTTCCTCTGTGCTGTGTTACCCCTCGCTCGGCCCGGTATCACTGCTTAATGCCCCTGTCAACCCCCCTTCTTGCTCTTTAAAGTCTGCACCGCATGTCCTCTAACCTAGAGTGTGTTGGTAAATTTGTGTGTGTGTGTGTGTGTGTGTTTGTGTGTGTATATTTGTCTGTCTGCAGCAGGGAGGCTCTCTGAGGCTCTTCTGTTGGTGTTTCTCATTAGTGCAGGCTGGCAACATCCCGGCAACTGGCACTCTAATCTCATCTAAAGCCAGAATGGGTTAGGGAGCCCCTCGCCAGGTGCCTCTATAAACACACACCTGTTACTGTGCTCACTCACACACACAAGCTTGTTTATATACAATGACAGGATGCGGAGACATAGGTATATCCCACATGTATGTGTGTATAGATACATTTGCTTTTAAGATTTTTCTTTTTTTTTCATGATATATGTTGTTGGGAGTTGGGCTTTACACAAAATATCCATGAATATTATGATAAACACCTTTATTAGAGAAATAAAAGTGTTTCCATTATATATCAGATATTATTCTTTTCAAAAACTCGTTACACCCTGAATTGTTACAAATGGAAAAACAGCATTTTGGAATGAAACTACTGCTGACCGGAGTACCCCACAAGCCTTGCTGTTTCAGAGATGGCCGGTCCCAGTCGTCTGGCCGTTACAATTTGGCCCTTGTCAATGTCGCTCACGTCCTCATGCCTGCCCATTTCTCACACATCCAACATGCGACTATGAGAACAGACTGTTCCCTTGCAGTCTAATCCCAGACCGTGGCGTGTGCCCGTTGTTATGAGATAATCAACGTTATTCACTTCATCTGTGAGTGCTCGTAATGTTTCAGCTCATCTGTGTATGTAAAAGTTTAACACACCCTGTCAATTTACATGTTTTGGTGAGTTTCTAAATAAAGCATAAAATAAAAATGTGCAATAAATTGCACACAGACCACATTATTTATTTATTTTTTCTAATATGAATAAATCAGCAAACAAAGAATAATTGTGTATTAAAATGTGCAGAAGTGTGTTCTCTGAGAATGAGTACATAAAAATAATATTAGAATAAATGTATATTACATTAATACGATAAGTAGATGTTGTGACGTTAAGTAAGTTGTCGTACAATAAGTAAGCCAACACAACAGTTTCTAGACAAATTGAGTTTGTGTGTGTGTGAGAGACAGAGAAACAGAGAGAGAGAGAGAGAGAGAGAGGGAGACAGAGCTGTTGTTGTCTGGCCTGTTTGTCTGTACTTTTAGTTTCTTTTGATTGTGCTTCTACTGTGTAACTATGCAGTTTATTTTTGATTTTTAATAATTATATATTTTACTCTCATTGGACTGAGATTTTTTTTCTCAGCATGACTCATGAGCCATTAGCGAGGCTCCTGCGCCCCTCTAAAATGACTTATGTGACTTGTTTTTATTAATTCCTTAACACTTGGGTTGTAATACACCACTTTAAAGGTGGTGATTCAGCGGCATCAATTTTGTGATGTTAGAATTGATTTGATTAGAATAATACTCAGTACAGTACATCCTCAAGTTTTTGTTAAAAATACATTCAATACTTTTCTAAAGAATTGAATTATGTTGTTATGAGTTTCATTTAAGGCCTTTCTCTCTCTCTCTCCTCTCTCTCTGTCTCTCTCTCTCTCTCTCTCTCTCTCTCTCTCTCGCTCTCTCTCTCTCTCTCTCGCTCTACAGGTTCATCAGTGACTCAGCTCCAGGCAGTGGACCCTGATGGAGAGCCGTTGATTTTTGGTGTGGTCGGTGAGGAAGCCTCACGCTTCTTTGCTGTTCAGGAGAACACTGGGGTGGTGTGGCTCCGGCAGCCGCTCGACCGTGAGGTACACATACACACACACACACACACAGACTCAAGACTTGTGAAATTTCAGCCTGAGAAAAACACAAAACATATTTAAATTAGGTTCACCAACACTGATGCAGTGAATAAATAAAATCTTTTGTCTCCAACTTTGTGTTTGAATCTTACTGCATTGTCGACACAACTTCAAATAATGAGCCTTTCCTTTAAAACTTCAGCAGGATTTGATCGCACACATGCTATACAAACTACAGGCTAACTAACCATTTCAAGTTGTTTAACCTCTTTTCTTTAATCACCACATTTACTGCATGTAGCACTTCAGTTCAGTCCTTCAAACTAATGCTTTTTCTATAATTAAAGCTCCTTATCTGAAGCAGGTGTCTGACCTGACAGGTTTTTAGTAGTGCTTTATTTTCATATAATGCCTGCAGTGGAGAAATCTAAGTAGAGAGATCTAAATGTCTCTAGACTCGACATGCAACTTGCACTCCTATTGCTATTTATTCATTTGTTTATTTGTTTATTTATTTATTGTCTCTGAGCTCTCAGATCCACAAGTACTGGTCTAGTGGAGTGCCGTCCCTCAGCACCTGTGACACTTCCTCCACTTTTTAAAACTCATCTTAAAACTGACCTTTTTTCCCAACGCTTTCACCTTTCTTCTCTCCCCTAAGCACTGCTCAGGCTGGTTTCATTTATCAGGGGAAAGTCTGTAATAAAACTTTTTACACATCATCTCAGTGCTAAAACTCTGCCATGCTGATGGCAATAAAATTACCACAAGATTATTAAGTTTCTAGTGGGTTCTATTTTCTGTTAACTGAGATGTTTACAAGATGAGTTCATGAACGGATATCTAGTTAACTGTGGAGGTTGAAAGAAACAACGGCAAAAAAATAATAAACAGATTTCAGAAAGTTAATATAGTACTCTGCTTTATCTTTTTAGGTTACTGCACTGGTGTTGCACAATATGTAGCATCACACAAAGAAGTACGTTTCAAAACTTTTTAATAGAAAATAGCTGAAGAAACAGCTGTGTTGGATGAGTAATATAACAGAGGTGCGACTGTTAGTTTGTCTGAGAAACATTTTTTTACTGTTTCCTGACTTAAAATCAACCTATTTAGCGAATCAGTCAACACTATCCCTGCTTTCTCGGTCATCTTCTTAACAATGGCCTCTTTTCCACTGTCAAGCCAAATGGTACTCAGGGCTGCACTGGGCCATTCTGTGCTGGTCAGGACTTGTGAGACTGGTTATGGTTTCTTTTTCCATCTGTTGTGCTGCTAAATCAGAGCTGGGAAATGTTGAAGAAAACTAGAGCTTCAGTCACTCTTCCAGTCTCTCACTATGCTCTCCGATTCTTTATCCTTAAAAATGGGTGCTATTTAATCATCATTTACTGAAACTGAGCCTGTATTGTGGTGGGTGACCATGTAACTTCACTAGCATTAGCATTGCCTAGCAGAGGACAGCTCAAAGCACCACAGAACAATACCAGTCGTTCCAATTTGTGCTGTCATGTATGAGTCTCTGTCTTCTAAACTGGTGTTTTTAAGCATTGGTTCGCTGGAACCACACTCATGTTAGCTTAGCCTAGCAGGCTACAGCTTAAAACACTATAGAACAGGTTTGAGTTTGGCTTCTGATAATGCAGATAATGCATCATACAATCCATTATACCTGTAGCTGCCATTGTAATCTCCCCTTTGTTCAGTCTGTGGGATCTCGCTTTGCTGATGAGGCTTTCTCTTCTTCCTACTAACACACTCTTAGTGTAGAGAGGATTGATGGAGACAAAGTTCTACCACCCTGATCAAGTAAATGGTTGGAAGTCTCTATAAAAACATCTCTTGTTTCGCGATTCTGGAAGTGTTTGATGTGGATATGTGTGCTAGGACGATATGGCAAATAATGTAGAATTAAAAAAACACTTTTCCTCAACACAATGCAACATCTGCCTGAAAAATCACAGACTGAAATAATCAGACAGAGTAGCACCTGTAAAAGAGGAAATCACCCCAGAACCTGATATAAATTTTATTCCAGGCTCTAGAGTCTCTGAAAAGCACTATATAAACACAAATTCTTCTTTTTCTCTGTCTTCTTTGTCTCTTTTTTCCTTTTATTATGAAATACAGAATTAATATTGTTCTCTGTTTTTCTGCAGAGCAAGTCTGAGATGCAGGTGGTGTTTTCTGTCAGTGACAGTCAGGGGGTGAGTGTTTACTCTTAACAGTCTTGTCCTTAATCCACACACACATATACATTTGTATGCAAGGTTTAGGCGCCTCTGGTCAAAATAGATTTTCTAAGTGAAAATAAGAACAGATCCTCTACAGAGGACACATTTAGCGCTGCGGTCAGAACAAAACCTTGTATCTCAATTTCTTTCATTTTTCAGTTTTTGACATAATTTAAAAATGCCTGTTGCCCTTTATATTGTTTGTAAATGTTATGATCATTGGACCAAAAGAAATGGCCCAAATTACTTGGACAAAAATTCTGGTTCCATTGACTTACATTAGGAGTAAAATATGTTTTTTCCTTCTCCTGTAAAGTTACTATTTTGGAGATATAAGGTTTTGTTCCGACAGCAGCCATACGTACATTTTAATGTTTATTTGCTGAATTTAACATGTAGGGACAAAACAGAACACAAAAATGGCATGTGCAAACATTATGGCACATTTTATATTTTATGTTTTATTTTTTTCTAAGATGTTAAACTCAGCAAATAAATAGAAATTGTGCTCTAAGTTTGTTGCCTGTGAAGGTAACTAATTTGCTTCATCAACAAAACATGTCATTTGACTAAATGTTAGGGTGTTTAAACTTTCCCATGCAACTCAGGATTCTCTCCTCATTCTCTCTCGATAAAGTTCAATTGAAAAAAATAAACAAAACAGTGTGTATTTGAACATTATGTCTTTGTTCTGCAGGTGGTGAAGGACACAGTGAACATCCAGATTGGAGATGTGAATGACAACGCCCCATCCTTCCACAACCAGCCCTACACGGTGAACATACCAGAGGTACTGAGCGTGTACACATAGTTCACATATAAAACCATAAATGCACATGTGCTGTTTGTGTTTTCCTCCTTTTTCCTCTAACGGCTGGATAAAGAAGTACACTTTTGCAACTTGTCCAATGTTCCTTCATATTCCTTCACTAAGCTCACTACACTCTTCCATGGCTATTTTTACACTCCAAAAGAAAAAGGCTGATGTAGAATATGTTTCATATACATTTACGTTCAGCAGATTCACATCTTGACTTACAAAATCTTGAAACGCTTGAAGGCAAAGTGATAAAGTTTACATGGACGAACAGAATGATTTCATAACCGATACAACAATAATGTTATCCTACATAGCAAAATATGATATCTTGACAAGTGTAATCATCTTAAATGTAGTCTAATATTTCTCTTTATGAGATTGTTGTAAGATGATTATAAGAGCTTTTAACTCATTTCCAGATTATTTCTAGAAACCAATAGCGATCGCACTGTACAGCACGTCATCACTGTGCCAGGACATTGTTGTGTGCTGAGCCACCGGCAGGACAGGCTCACTGGGCACCAGCTGGACATTACATTACATTATAACTCTTTACTAATATTACTACTACTATGCACTGCCACTCTGTACGCTTTACACTCTATACATATTGCACATTGCACTGCCACTTTGTTTATACATCCATAAATATTTCATATCGCACAACTGTTAACATAGGTTATCATTTACAGTACATAGTCACTCAGTTCATTCACTGGAGGGGACATGCACCTTTTGTACTGCTGCAATAGATGACTTTCCCTCTGGTAGTAATAAAGTTATCTATCTATCTATCTATCTATCTATCTATCTATCTATCTATCTATCTATCTATCTAAATTAGATTGTAAGTTATTGTTTTATTCTAATATCAGATAATTTTGCTCTTTTTGAGAATTACTTCTTAAAACAATGACTTAAAACAAGTACAATAAGATAAGTAACCTTATAATATTCTTACAACAATATTATTACACAATACATTAGATATATTGACTAGATTTAAGAGGGTTTTTTTTTGGCAGTATAGCTTGATTCAGTATAACTTGGGCCAAAGTGCAGCAGGACAGTAAGGATATCAGCCAAGCCTACTTTAAAAGAAGAAACTATAAAACATCTCACATAGAGTTGAGAGAGAAAGAGAACCTTATGAGGGCGAGCTTGTTCCACCACTAAGAGGCAAAAGTCACTCTAGTCGATGAGCTTTGGGAGCATGTATAAATCTTTAGGAGTGTGTGCACTTCCCACCAGTCAATTACAGCTGCAGGACACAATACGAATGTTCAAAACACTCTGTTGTTCCATATTGGTCAAAACATTGCAGCAATGAATATAAGCCAGGAATCCTGAAGTTGAAGAGTTGTACAAGTTACAGGCAATCATACCGTACAATTTTTTTGTTTCTTTTTCTTCAAAACTGACGCTTCATGGAAGAAAATAAAAACAGAAAGTGAAAAAAGAGGTAAAAAAAGATGAGAAACAGACAAAAGTACACATGGTGTCCATGTGTCAAAGTTGGGATATGTGCTCCTGACAACACTGGTGTCCTTTATCCTGACTGCTGCCTCCTCACACTCTTTAGTCTGTTTCTTATTGCCAGAGGCTTCTGTCTTCCAGGAAACATCATGGTACTGTTGTGAAGATCTTTAAGTTGGAGTGGTTCTGGAGACAGGTCTTGCTGGTCAGGTGTGACAACTGCTTTCTTGCATTTGTCTACGTCCCAGGCCTTTTCTTTGGAGCACTGGCGTATTGTCCAACTTTACCAGTCAGGCTTTAGATGATTCTGTCTCCCCAGGAAACATTTCGACACTGGCTTGAAGATCTGTGAGGAGGAATGGCTCTGGAGTCTGGTCATGCTGGTCAGGTGCGACAGCTCTCTTGACGTCATCTGTCCCAGTGGTCTTGTTTTTAAGCTGAAGGAGAGCATAGGTGTGTTGTTCAGCTCTGCCATTCAGGTTCTAGAAGATTTTGTAATAGCAGTCATGGTACTGTGGTGAATATCTGGTGGTGGAACGGTTAAAGAGTCAAGCCATGCAGGACAGGTCTGACAGTTGCTTTCTTGCATTTGTCTATGCTGCTCAGAGTCTTGGTTGATTCAGATGTGCCAGATAATTGTCAGTTAAAAGGTGGTTCTAGGTCACTTATGTTTTTAATACAGCTTTCAACAGGATCTTGTGGAGCTGCGGACATAATCAGCGGGGTGTGTACCTTAACGTAGGTGTTTGGGCTACTGGTGGACCTCGCACTATGCAGGGTGATTCATCATGAGTGTCAGTAACCAGAGTTTGTACCCTTTTTGTCCTTTGCCATCCTTTCATCCTTTATTTTGTCCAGCTTGATCCCCAAATTATTTGAGTGTCCAAGGATTTTTGTTTGTTTTTTTTGCATTCAAGGGTATGTGAAATAGCTTTTACTTAGCAGCGTCCTTAGCAGTGTCTTTAGCAGTGTCTTTAGCAGTGTCTTTAGCAGTGTCTTTAGCAGCGTCCTTAGCAGTGGCTGGTGCTAACTAATATGGTCTATCAAGGATTCATGACTATAGCAATGCCCCTCAATTAAACTATCATTGCACAAACTAATTAATGATAGTCAGGGTTTGAATTGTGGCAGAGTAGTAACTGGGTAACCTATAATATATATATATATATATATATATATATATATATATGCTTTGTGGGTGGAGAATAGATAGGTCAGTTCTTTAATTATTGTGTCTAAATATGCAGGTAAGAATAGGTCATGAAATTGAGTTCAACAGTATTTTATTTCCAAGAGAACTTATTTAAGCTTCTTGCCTTCTTTTGTTAGCGGCACTAGCCAACCAGTTGACGGGCAGTTTAAAGCATGTTAGCCACTTCTCCTCTCAGTATCTTTAGTTTGCAGCTTTATTAGTGGACAGAGAGAAATGGCTTTCGCTGACTTTCTTTATTTCTTTTTGGGAGTTTTATATCTAATTGAACCAAAGCCTACACTACTTATTTTACTCCTGATTCTTCAGGTATCACTTTCACCAGCTATACAGCAATATATTCTCCACTTGGTGTTTAAAATTCTCCAACTAGCATATTCCCACCACTGCATATTTTTCATAGAATCATGAGAAGAAAACATACATTAGCAAGGGACATTCCAAACTCTTATGTTTTTGCCTAAATGTGTTTTCTGCAAGCATACAAGTTGTCATAATTATAGTTCTCTCTCTCTTTTTTGTCTGCTGCTTGCTATAATGAACAAGAAAATGAATGCACTTAGTAAGAATAGTGGGCAAATCAGGTATTGTAGTTAATTGCCTAAAGGAGACATAATAAAACTGTATTTTCTTCACTAGTTCACAAATATGTTATTATATTTTATATGTTCACATATATGTCATTGTATGTACCGTTGTGCCTGTCTTCATACTTTCACCAATGCAGCCTCTGTAAAGGGCTGAGGGTATAAAAACAGCAATACAAAGTCACATATCACAAACATATAATTCATGAGCTCTTGCACAATGTACAAACCCCCAACCCCCACCCCTTATACTGTGACAGCCAATGATACCAATGGTCTTTAGCATACAAAATCAACACCCTGAAAATGACCTTTTCATTACAGAGGAGTAAATAAGACATAAAACACATCACACAAAGACTGAATTGAGGTGTTTGTTTAATGCTTTTCAAACTTGTCTTTCAAAGTGCACAGGGAACTGCGTTTATTTGAAAAAACAAGAGTAGAACATGCTTATTTTACTTCAGAAGTCATACTGTTATACTTATTTCTGTCTCTCTTTAGCCGAACAGACAAATTCTCATGAAAGTGATTAAGAGTGCAGAAACCTATGCACTTATTAGCAGTACAACAAGTATGAGTATAGTCCTTTGTAACCTCTTTGAATGATTTCATATTAAAATGATTATTATTTTTGGTTCTCTCTTGATAATTTCTTGTCCCTGAACAAGCTGTTTTTGCCACAGAGCAGTTGTTACTTCTGACAGATACCTTCCAGCATCATTCTGGTATCCTCAGCAAATGCTTCCTCTAAAAGGAGACCTTTTTTGAAGCTCTTTAGCAAGTACTTCAATCTGTATGCATTTCTAATGATAATGGTTTAAAGTAGATCAGGCTAATTGCAGAGAAAGAATGATAGTGATTAGCCAGCTGCGTCCAAACTGCCCCATTCACTATATAGTGCAGAAGATTCAGTGTGCTCAAACAATCCCATAATGCATCACAGAAAGTAGTGCACAACTGATATACCCTAGGGGATAGGGGATACCCTTAATGCACTGCGTTTTTAGGTTTGAGGATTAACACGTAAACTTCTCTGAGCAGGATTTCTAAGCTCGGCTACAACGGTAACCTCTCCACAGAGCTCTCTTCAAACGTTACAGATGTAAGTAAGCTCTTCTTATGTGTGCAGTCCAACTTAGCAGTTAGAGTGGACTGACATTCATAGTGTTTATGTAACGGGATCTGCTATCACACCGTAATGAGCACACCTGTATGGCGTAGTGTCCGAAATTGTTTACTACCGTGAAGAATTGTGTTCCCTGTGTTTCTATTGTAGGATATCGTGAATAGGGGACCATTTTGGACACAGCATGTGTTATCTAGATTTGGCTATATGTCTTTGTTATAACAAATATGCTTCCAAATAATACAAAAACCTTTTAGAATGTGGTTGAATGTTAAATAGAAATTGACAAAGTACTGGTTTTTGAAAAGACGAGTGATTCTAAGACTGTGGTCATCTTTGTAACTTTTTAACATTTTTTCTATACTTTTTTAGCATTAAATCTAGGAAAATATGCATTTAGTCATTTAAAAATGTATCAAAATGTTTTTTTTGTTTTTTTTTGATTTCCATAACTCTTTTTAGTAATTTGAGCACAAAGACTTAAATGAGTTATGGGTTAAAAGTAACAGGGTTGTGATTTTAGCATAGAATTAAAAAATACACAAATTATGGTTAATGTAACATCCAT